GAACAGATCAGAAGATGCAGACACAACTACAAAAACACTCAGCCACCTTATCTTTGACAAAGGGGCCAAACATGTTCAGTGTAAGAAAGATAGCCTCTTTAATAAATGGTGCTGAAAAAACTGGCTTTCCAAATGCTGAAGACTAAAGCTAGGTCCATGTCTATCAACATGCACTAAATTAAAGTAAAAATAGATCAAAGATCTAAATATTAAAACAAAAACATTAAATCTACTCAAAGAGAAAGTACGTAAAACTCTCAAAGACATAAGAGTAGGCAGAGAGTTCATGAACAAAAACCAAACTACACAGGAAATGCTTTAAAGAATCAACAACTGGGATCTCACCTTATTGAAAAGTTTTTTCACACCAAAAGAAATCACCAACAGAGTAAAAAGAAAACCCACAAATTGGAAAAAAATTTTAGCCAACTGTCCCTCAGACAAAGGACATCAATCTAGAACATATAAAGAAATTTTAAAAATCAGACCCTCAAAACTCAAAGACCCAATCCAAAAATGGGCATCTGAGATGAATACACACTTCCCAGGTGAGGAAATACTAATGGTGAATAAATATATGCAAAAATATTCAACATCATTAGTCATTCAAGAAATGCAAATTAAAACTATCTGAGATTCCATCTCAGCCCAGAAAGAACAGCTATCATCAAGAAATCAACCAATAACAAAGCTGGACAGGCTGTGAGAAAGGAACACTTCTCCACTGCTGGTGGGAGTGAGACTGGTGAAACCACTGTGGAAATCAGTTTGGAGATTCCTCACAAGACTAGGATTAGAAATCCCACTTGACCCAGCTAGTCCCCTTCTGGGTATTTCCCCAAAAGAATAAAAACATCATACCACAGCAATATACGTGCACCCGTGTTTATAGCAGCACAATTTGTCACAGCTAAATCTTGGAAACAACCCAAATGCCCATCAACTGAGGAATGGATAAAAAAGATGTGGTATTTTTATACAATGGAATATTACTCAACTATAAAGAAGATAAACTCAAGGCTTTTTTAGGTAAATGGATGCAACTAGAGACCATACTCATAAGTGAAATAAATCAGACCCACGTGTGTAAACATCATATTGCCTCCCTAGTGTAAGAACCTGAAAGAGTAAATAAAACAAAAAATGTACAATAGATAATATGAAAGGGAAAGAAATTGCTCAAAGGAAGGAACAACCGGGATGAGAGAAAGAAGAAAAAGAAAGTACTAAGGTTATGTGTGTGTGTATATATATATATATATATATATGGATAGCTGGCATAGCTGTATTTCTGATGTCTGGTGGTTTGTTGAAAGGAACAATTAATGCTTAAAGTTTTTTATATTTTCACCAGTTTTGCATGCTTGTATCTGGTAATCTGAGCAGCTGATTTGAAGACAATAATATACAATAGAACAACCACTGGTGAATTCCTGCCATCTTGTCTAGTGAAGCTCTGCACTGTCTCTAATGTTCTTTTTAATAATTTTTTTTATTCTCTTTCATGGTTTGAATAATCTTCCATTCTTACATCTGGTAATCTGAGCAACTTTGTTGAAGATAACAATGTGTAGTGTAACAGCCGCTGTTGGATCCTATCATTTTGTTTTGAAACCCTGCATGATTTTTAATGTTTTTACTTTGTTTTGTTTATGTCTGTGACATTGGTATGTTGCTACTATTGTTCTTTTTTTTACTACTGCTTTTAAAATAAAAAATAAAATAAAATAATAAAGTGCTGGGATTAGAGGTGTGGGCCACTGCTCTTGGCCAGCCCTTTTTATTTTATTTTATTTTTTATTTGAGGCAGCGTCTCGCTTGTTCACTGGCCGGCATGGAACTTGTGAGTAGCTGGGGGATTCCTCTTTTGATAAATCCAAATAATACTATATTGATAATAGTCTATACAATATTATTAATACTAGTATGTATATTATAACTATTATATTATACCTGTACTGTGAAATAGGAGAATTTGGTTCAGGCATCCTAATCCCTCCCTTCCCTTCTCATGCTGCCACCGACTTTTATTTTTAATTCTCTATGATTTACAGTTGTATGGTGAAAAGGCTGCTTCTTGTTTTGCGGGTTTTAAAGAGGCCTGGAGACTCCCAGTCCTCTTCCCACTTCTCTGCTCAGCCACCGCCCTCTCCCAGCTTGCAAAGGTCCGGGATCTGGGGCCTAAGCCCGATGACCTTAGTCGCCCCGGGACCTTGGCGGCTCTGCCGGGGCGGCCACCGCACTCACCTGGGGCCCGCAGCTCCGCACCCCGGTCGCACACCCACTCGGGGCAGCATTTGCCGGGCGTCTCCACCCTGCGCGGCCAGGGGCAGTCGGCGCTGGGCAGCCGGATGTCCTCGCTGCACAGCGGCAGGCAGGTGAAGCCGCCGTCCTCGCAGCGGCAGCGCACCCGGCAGTGCGGCTGGAAGGTCTCCCCGTCGCGGTACCGGCGGCCGTTCACCTCGCAGCCGTTGTCGTCCTCGCCAACTGCGGAGGGAGCAGAGACCGCGCCTCATGACCCAGGCCTGCGGGGACCTGCAGAGCGTTAGGGACCCCACAGTGTCTGAGCCCTGCACCCCGCAAGCCTGCCCCGCCAGCAGGAAAAGGAGGGTCACCTGGGTCCCGACACAGGGAGCCCAAAGACTGGCCTGGTTTGGGTTCCAGTTCTGCCCTTTCTTGGCGGTGAGCCCTCCTTGCAAAATGGGGTATAATGGTACTTGTTTCACAAGGGGGTACAGACTCATGTAATGATACATGTAATGAATCCAACCAAAAAGAGACCATCAATAGATCCGCTCTGTTATCGGTGGTATTGCTACAGATTAATACTACATGACTCTTCTTTACACACTAGGATTTTGTGTAACAGTCTCATTGTCCTCCTGCTGTGTTGTAAATCGTTGCTGTCGGGTCAGGGCTTAACTCTCTGGCCGTGTGTTTTAGGTAAGTTACTTAACTTCCCTGAATGGCTTGAGCTATAGCAGTGATGGAGATAGTAATTAGCACCTTCAGGTCACATGCGGTGATGCGAATGCAGACAGCACCCAGGGCTGTGCTGAGCGTAGAGTAGATGCTCAGGAAACGCTCTCTGAATGCACTTCAAGCTCTGGGCTTTGTCACCACCTCTTGCGCTGGACATGGGCTGGAACCAAGTGCCCCTCCTGCCATCCCCTGAGCTGGCTCAGAGCAGGACGGGGCACACAAGACCTCAGGGTGAACGCCTGGCCCTCGGCTCCGCACAGAGCAAACTCTGACAGTGAATAGTTCCACCTCCTTATAATTCCAGATTTATTTATTGTACCCCCTGCGTGTGACAGCCACTGTGCTGCTAGACAGAAACAAGATGCACTTTTGTCTCGAGAGACTTGAGGAGGTCGTGGGCTAGTGGAAGACAGATGTAAAAGTCACCGTGTCCAAGTCAGAAGGAGCGGAGAGCCCTGGAGCGGTGCAGTGTGTGAGGTGCTCAGGGTGCGGAGGGCTTGGGGAGGACCGGAGGCTTGTGACAACCGAGTAAGGATTCATTGGTAAGGTCCCCCCGGGCCTTTTGGGGAAACTTCAAGTAGGTCCACGCACACAGCAGGGTTTTGAAACGGCGCTAGCTCCCAAATGCTGGCTGGTGTGGGAGCCAGGGCCCAGTTACTTCACCTCTCTCAGCCTTGGAACCTGCCCCCAGCCACCGGAGCATGAATGAGAAAATGTGTTTAAAGCCTTTTGCCCAAAGCCTGGTACATAGCTGATGCTCAGTCAAAGGCAGCATATTTATCCTTCCCAGGAAGACAGGACCAGTGTCCCATGCCTCTCCCGGCCCCACCAGGCCACAGCCCTTTGGCTCGAATCCCTGACCCTTCGGCCTGGACCACAGGGTTGTTTGGTTCCCTGGAAACCGCAGGGGCAGCTGCTTCTTAATCTGCACCTTGGCCTAAATCCTGCTGCCACAGCCCTGGGGCCTCCAGGTCGCTGGGACATGCTGGTAAACAGAGGCTTGTTTAGGAAAATCGGCTGGAGAAGGGTAATTTTAGCAAGGTGTCTTGGCATCTCAGCTGGCTCATCAGCTCCGACCTGGTTGGGGTTGGGGACGATGGTCCCTGGGTACCCCTCTCCGCCTGATCTATGTGCACCTGTGTGTGCTCCCAAAGATCACGAGGCCCCTCCAAACCTCACCCTCTTGGAGTTCCGCTGCCCAGCCTCACACACCTGTGGCTGCCAGAACCCTCCCAGGGCTTTCCACTGAGTTCCCACAGCGTCCCCCAGGCTCAGATCAGAGTCTTGCTTTCTGGGGGTTCCCCTGTCCTTCCCCTTGGGGAGTCTGTTTCAGGGCCAGGAACCACAGGGTTTGGGGAAGTCCTTTTGTTTGGGATTGGTCTTTTTAGTTTTTAGTCACTTGCAAACTCTGTGACCTTACAGGTGACTTAACTTCTCTGAGACCCTATTCGCTCAGCAGCAAAACAGGGACAATAATAGGACCTACCTCAAGGTTGAGGATAAAATGAAATTGTGCCCATAAGGGCTCTATGTCACTCGTGAAGCCACCAGCTTCCAGCCTCTAGGTTGGCTTCCAATTACTAAATCTGTACAAACATCCCACCGCTGCTGGACCAGGGAGGGAGGTCCAGAGACCAAGTCAGTCCTGGCCTGCAGCTGTTTGCAGTCTGAATCAAGAGGGAACATGAACAGCCCCTTCATGAAATTACCGACAGTAACATACTCTATGTTCTACCTGTGCGGGGAATATCGGGCTGTAGAGGAACAAAGCCTGTGGTCATTGAGTCAGATTCCAGGGTTCAAATCCCAGCTGTCCATTGGGCCTTGGGCAGGTTGCATAATCTCTCTGGGTCTCTTTATTGCATTTATAAAGTGGGGAATGGCATATGTATCTACCTCATATAGTTGTGAGATTAAATGAGTGGATATTTGTGAAGCCTTCCGTACCTGGCACTTGGTAAAAAACTGCCATGTGAATCACTGGGCCATGGTGAACCCGAAGAACAGCTGTGGAAGTGTTACTTGTCTCCATTTCTCTTCAGACACATTTTCACGGGCCAGTGATATAGCTCAGCGGCCCAGCACCTGCCTGGCAAGCATGACATTGTGAGTTTGATTCCCGGTGTCACAAAAAAAGACAACCTTTCACTAGCAATCATCTGTGAGTTTATCTAGCCAATCCTGCCTGTCTCCTATGGAATAAAGCATTATAAGGATTTGCTATTGATAACTTTCCATCTATAAGTTTTGTTGCACATTTTTTGGGTCTTTTTTTTTTTTCTTTTTTGGTGCCAAGAATCAAACTCAAGGCTTCATGCTTGCTAGGCAGGTGGTGCAGCCCTAAGCTACATCCTAGGCCCAAGTCTTGTTGTTGTTTTTTAACAAGATTTTTCCTATGCATGAACTCATTGTCATAATTCATGAGCCTCTCTTTCTCTTTCTCTCATTCTTATTTTTATAAAAGAATGACTGCACTTAGAAGAAAGAGGCAAATTATTCTACAAAGCTTATTATTTGGAAAAACTCTCACCTCTTTCTATTTCTCTGAAACAGTGGTTTTCTATTGGGGTCATGATGCCCCTGGGGACTCTTGGCAGTGTCTGAAGACAGACTGTCACGACTCAGGAAGGGTGGGAGGGCTGCTCCCGGCATCTAGCAGGTGGAGTTCAGGGGTGCTGCTAAATGTCCTACAGTGCACAGCACAGCTCCCTGCGAGCAAGAAATACCTAGCCGAGAGTGTCACCAGAGCACAGTTGCAAAGCCCTGCCCTAAACCATTGGAGGATGCCAAGGCCTACAAAGCGTGGTGTGGAATGTCGCGTGCCCAAGGTCGCAGCAAAATAGCACCTAGAACTCAAACCACGGTTCAAATTGCCCAGTCCAGGAGAATGCAATTTGCTTGAATTTACTTGAAAAGGTTCCAAGCTGTATGACATGCAGTGTGTCACTAATACCACTGAGCCTCAGTTTCCTCATTGGTAAAATGGACCTAAGAGTACTTGGTGTCACAAGATTATTAGAAGGTTTATGTGACTTGCGCGGTAAGCACTTCCCCCAGTGCCTGACACATACTGTGCCCTGCATAAGGGTCTGTCTTTTTCTTTTCCCCAGTATGACAAAGGTCGCTGAAAGGGATATTTTCTGGGTTGAAGAGTCTGGGAGTTTCTCAAGGGGAAGATATTTGGGCTTGGCTTTGAAAGTGTGACTAGGACAGGGAGGGACAGGGAGTGCGGCTCAGGTGGGGCCTCACGGTCTAAGCAAAGGCCAAGAGAAGAGACACAGGCAGCAGGCCCAGGGGCCGGTGGCCCCTCGACTCAGCTGAATGGAGGTGGGGTGAAGGGAGGGAGTCGAAAGCTGCTCTTTGGCTCAGGACCCACAGCCGTGACCTCCCACACACACCCTCCAGGAGTCCCGCAAACCTGCTTACAGAGACAAGTGGCCCTCCGGCCACCAGGGCCTGCTCCGAGCTGGCAGACCAGGCCCTGGCTGGGGTCACAGACATGGAGGTGGTCGCAGGGCTCTCCCAGCCGCCGTGCACAGACCCGGCAGCAGCCACAACCATCCAGCACCAGGGGCACCCCTGGTGGGCATTGCGGCGGTGGCCAGGGGCAGGCACATGGTGTCGGGCACAGCTGGGCACACACCTGCAGAGACAGAGACCTCACTCAGCCATGTGCTTTCAAGGTGGGCAGTGAGACCTTCCCAACTCTGCCAGGCTGGACAGTGTGGGGTCCACAGCTTGGCCTCAGAGTCACGCAGATCTGGCCTTGAACCCCGGCAGGCCCATGGCACTCCCTGAGAAGCAGGGTGGTGTTGTGACCACGAGCAAGGACTCTAGACCACAGTTTCAGTCCTGGCTGCGCCCCTTAATTGCTGAGGGACCTAGGACAAGTTACCTAGGCTGGCTGAGCCTGGGTTTCCTTGTCTGTGACAGGAAACCAATCAGAAGGTCTCAGAGAACTCATGTAAGGAAGAACATCAGACCCTTAGTATGTGGCCTGGCAGCTCAGAGCATTGAGCTCTAGTCTTTGGAAGAATCCATACATGTTTCTCAACCCTGAATGCAGAGCAAACCAGCCAGAAAATGTGGGGGAAAAACAGAATCCCAAGCCCCTCTGGGACTCACCAAAGCAGAAGTCTCAGAGATTTGTTTTTGTTGCTTTGTTGTGTTTTTGTGATAGCAGGATTGAACCCAGGGCCTTGTGCATGGTAGGCAAGTGCTCTACCACTGATCTACATCCCTAGCCCATCTATATCTTTTCATTTTGAGACATTTGCCCAGGTTGGCCTTGAATTTGTGATCCTGCCTTGGCCTTCTGAGGAGTTGGAATTACAAGCATGTACCACTATGCCTGACTGGACGTTGTATTTTAAACAAACTTTCTGGTGGTTTCTAAAACTCAGCTAAGTTTTCAGCACCTCTGCCACCATGTAACCCCTCCCTGCTGCCATGTACAGATGCAGAACTCCAGGGAGAGAAAGGCATTTGCTGACAGCCAGAGGGTTAGTTGCAGAGCTGGGAGCAGGCCCACACCCTACTTCCTTGAGGAGGACCCAGGGAGCTTGAGTGCAGCTAGGTTTTCCCTTCAAGGTTTCAATCTGAGAGATCCAACTGCCCTTCCCCACACAGGCTAAAAAACAAAAAACACCCAAACCTTAAACCAGATGTCAAGGGCTCCCTGTAAATCCATTTGAAGGTGGGGACCCAAAGGTGCTCCCCACAGGCCCATCTGTGGGGGGCAATCTTAAGCAGGATCCTTGGGGGACTAGAAAGCTTTATCTAGAGAAGAGAGGACTTCTGGCTTGGGAAGAGGAACTAATGACCTCAATTCTCCTGTGTGGTCTAAAGCAGGTAACGACCTGTTTATGCTACTCCCCGCCTTCTCCCACCCCAGCACCCTTGTCCAGCCAACCTTCCAGTGTTCTGCAGCTCCCACTCTGACCACCAGGGGTCACCCTGGCTGACTGACCAGCCTCTCCTGGGGGCGACAGGGAAGGCCACCGGAAGTCCCACCAAGGACAGCACTCTGCGGAATTTCAGCCCACCTTGCCCCTCAAGGTGTGCTCTGGACTGCAGCAGAGTCCCCCGGAAGCTTGTTAGGAATACAGCACCTGGGGCCCTTCTTTTTAACCTGAGTATATTTTAATAAACCCAGAGGTGCTGCACACATGTCTAACCCAGGAAGCAGTAGGCTGGACTTCAAAGCAGAGGCTCTCTCCAAAGCAGAGGCTCCAGCTCCCTTGGTCCTGGGCAGTGAGGACTCCAATCAGAACTGGCTCTCGGGTCCCTTCCCCTTGAAAACTAGGGTACCATGAAATAGGCCTGCTGGACATCTGGGCCCCTCTGTGAGCTTCCTCTACCTGGCTGCCTTCGGATTCTGCAGGTCCTGACACCTAGAACCTATTAATGACATAGTGACTGTAGCAAACAATGGCGTGCTGCATGCATGCTGTGCGCGAACGCTGTAAGGCATGTGTGATTGAACCCCCTGCATGAGGTCCATCGGCGCATCCCTTTCAAAGATGAGGAAACAGGTCAAAGCCGTGCAGTAAACAGCCGGGAAGGGGTGGGATGAGGATCAGGATCCAGGTCCATGAGGATGCAAGACTCGAGTTCTTAATTCATGTCCACCTCTTGTCATCTAGGGGCTCCAAAGTCAGCTTAGTGCCTGCCTCAGTTTACCCATCTGTTTAAATGGGCAGTGACAAGTCATGGAGAGTGGCTTAGTGCAGACGTGGAAGGACATATCCTCTCTGGCCTCCCTCTACCTCCAAGCCTCCAACCACGCTGTCGCCACATTCAGGTTATCCCATCATGCCTCAGTCTCCCCAGAGCCTTGCTGTGGCCGCTCGGGCCAAGGCTCTGTATGGAGGCACTTGGTGTGGACTCTTCCGGGCAAGAGTTAGGGGTCCAGGTTCTACCACCACCCTGCTCTGTGACTCAGTGGCCTAGCTGCTTTGTGATGTGGACCAGGTAGGCTGAGTCTCCCCCTCTGGCAGGTGGTGGAGACCACCTGTTCCTAAACAATGATGGGGGTTAAGTGAGGTCACAGCCAGTCCGTGGTCAACGGGAGACCAAGGTGCTCCCAGGTCTCTATGTCCTGCTCCTGTCCCCTGCATTGAGCCCAGGAGCCCACAGCCTGCCTGGAAGCCTTGGAATTCTCTCTGAAGATGGTTGTGGATTCACATGTTTGCCACAACCAAGGCCCTGGGTTTCTGGGTAGGATACTCATTGGCTTCCTAGGTCCAGAGAAGAATGGATCCATGGGTCCTCCAGCTGTACACCCAGGATGGCTTTCCCTCTGCCTTTCATAATCCTGAACCCCAGATTCCATGCTCCAGCTACTCAAGCCTCCCCACTGGCCTCATGTCCTTCCTGCCCTCTGGCGACACCAAGGAGCAAGACCGGAATGCAGCAACAAGAGTCCTCAGCCTTCCTCAGCAAGAGGGAGAAACGCCTGCCCCTGCTCCTCAAGGGAACAAGAAAATGCAGTGAGATCTTGGCTTGTGAGGGGCTGATCCCCTGGCTCTGGAAACTTGGTATTCTCTAAGAGGATGATACAGCTGGGCACTGTGGCCTTGGGCCAAGTTGGGGTGGGGCGGTGCGTACAGGAGTCCCTCATCACACACCTGTATCTCTCCTGGGCTGCACTGTGTCTGTCCTGTATTGCCCTGATGTTTCTTCGCTGTGTGGATTTGGGCAAGTTTCTTGCCCTCTCTGAGCTTCATTTGACTGAAGTTGGGGCTGATGACTCTTTTTGAGATTGTGCATGTTAGTCAAGGTGGATGTCTTACAAGCCCTTTGAGAAACGTCCTTTGCAGCTCTGGGAAAGATCATTGCTACACAGAGGTGTGTCCTGCCCACCCCTCCAGCCAGGGTCGCTGCCCTCACAGCCTGAGCTCTTTAATCACTTAGACACCAGCCCTCGCTCCAGTCCTGGCTTGGAGGTAGAGCAAGTGCATCATGTCTTGGTCTCCTCGCTTATGCCCCTGCCTCGCTACTGGGCTGCTGGCTCATTCAAGTTTTCCTTTGAACATTCATCATGTTCCAGGCTCTGCTGAATATGGAGGAAGCACCATGAAGGATTGCCACAGAGGTCTCGGGAACATCATGTCCCCTCAACTGGGCAGAAGCTGGGGCTCAGAGAAGAAGAGTTCTGCCTGAAGTCACACGGCAGAGCTGGCAGCTGTCTGGGACCAGAGCGAAGCCGAGCATGGGCACAGGGCCTGGACTGTGTCCAGTGTGGGGCCAGCAGGAGCTCTGCCGGCAGGGGTGCTCCTCGGCCCTGACTCCCCAGTGCACTCCCACCCCAGCAAAGAAAGCAGTAGTGCAGCCAGGGCCGGCAGCCCCTTACCTTGGAGAAGATGCAGAGGAGGGAGAAGGCCAGGAGGTGGGTCTGCAGTGGGCCTCTCATGTCACGGTGTCCCCGCAGAGCCAGCTTTGAGCCTGGGAAGCAGGACCTGTGAGTCTTTATGTTCCAGCAGCTGTGAGGTCACCCGGGACATGCACACACCCACACCCACAACCACCCACACCCACACACGCACACACACACACTGGCCTCTCCATTCCTTGTACTCTCCCCATCCTCATGACCCAGTGGTGACCCGTTTACCTGAAGGTGAGATCGTGGAAGCCACCATGGGAGTGCCTGCCAGTGAGTGCGTGTATGCGTGTGTGTGTGTGTGTGTGTGTGTGTGTGTGTGTGTCTATGAAACCAGAGCCAATGCCAGCACCAAGAGCCTGCAGCAGGCTGGCAAGGCCCTCTCTAGCTCCTTCCAGCCCAAGAGGGCTTCAGCCTACACCACCGCCAGAGCTGCTGCAGCCCTAGCTAGCCCGACCCCTGCCCCACCGCAGAGGCTGTGGATACCGGAAGCGTCCGCCAAACACCCCATTGCAGATCTGACTTGAGGTCTCCTAAGCCCTGTGGCCCGGACTCTGGGCAGCCTCGGCCCAGCCTGTGGTTTCTGGCAGGGAGGTTGGCAACCACCCAGAGGTGGGTGTGACCCAGAGCAGAACTTTCCTGGGCAGCTGGTCTGCTCTTGGCAACGAGGGGCCTCCCCAGCCTGCTTCCCCGCTAGAAGGTGGCCCACGGTGGGCAAGCCCAAGCAGGATGGACCTACTGTGTGCCTGCACTTGCTGGGCACTGCCGGACAATCTAGTTTAACAAAATCCATTTTCTTCAGTTCAGGCAATGTTGAGATCTCCTCTGCAGGGACTGGGTTCACAGTAATAACCTTGGGACCAAATCCAGAGGAAGAGACAACAGTGGCAAAACTGGAGGGATTCCTGGGAATACTGAGGAGGATCCCTCGTTCAGACCAACAGGGAGGGGCAGATTTCTGAAGGAGGCGCCATTTCAGAGAACCAACAAGAGTGCAGGTTAAGGAGGGTAGAAGGTTCCAGACGATGGGGACAGCACACTCAAGTGCCTGGAGGGGTACAGCATGCCGGCCTTACAAAATCTGGGCCCCAGGACATCCGGTGGGAATGGAGCTTCCTGGGCAGTGGGGGTACACATGGAACACTAATTTGCACTCCAAGACCGTGGGCACATCTGTACCATCACAGCACTGGAACAGGGGTGTGAAGACGTGGGCAGAGACAATAATCGAGGTGATGTCAACAGGTGGGCCAGGGGAAGCCCGTGGTCCCCATCATCTCTACCAGTGCCCCAAACTGCAAAGTGACAGAGCTGGACAGCAGGAGGTTCCAGAATGGATGGGCAACTGGGGGGAAAGAATTTAATGAGACCCTGTCTCAAAGCAGAAAAATTAAAAGGGGATAAAAGTGTTTCTCCGTGGTTGAGGACTTCCCGGTTTAATCCCCAATACCACACACAAAAAATACACAATGGTATTTCTAGTCTTCAAAATCGGCACCTTAGTTAAAAAAAAAAAAAAAATGAAGCTCACAGGGGTTAAGAAACTTGCGTAACGTCACGCAGTTAGAAAACAGAGCCAGGCTTTCAGGGCAGGTCCATAAGATGTCAAACATAAGTCTGAATTTGTCATTTGTGTTAGAGTTCTCTGTGATCCCTTTTCACATGGAGGGGTAACGTAGGCAGAACAGTGCTTACAATGCACCAGTGTTCCGTGCACGGCTCCATGGTTTCACGTCCGTGTGACCTGATGACAACCGCATAGCCACATAATTGCCACCCAGAGCAAGCTGCATTTCAGAAGAGTCCACAAGCCCCTTCCGAAACGCTGCCTTCTGCCCCTGACCAGGTCCCCGCTGTTCTGAGCTCTGTTGCAGTGGCTGGTTTTCCCCGAGGTGCAGAGCTAGGCTGTGTCTTCCTCTGAGGCAAGAAGCAGGGGTTAGGAGAGGTGGGAGGATTTTCAGATGGGCTGCAGCGGCGGCAGCAGCAACAGCAGGGCAGCGAGGCCTCCGGGGGCTGGCGGGGAGCCGGAGGCGGCCAGAGGTGAGCCGTGTCCTGGGCCTGCGGTCCTCTGAGTCAGAACGTGGTTTCCCCTGGACCTTTTCCTCTCTAATACTGAAGAGGGAAGCGTAGGGGCAGGGTGTGGGCAGCTGAGGCTGAGGCCTGGCCAGATGGAGGCGCATGCAGGCCTTGCCCAGGGCAGTGAAAGTGCCAGTGGTCCTCCTTCCACGTACAGACCAAAGTGGGGAGGCTGTGACCGGAAGACATTCTGCTGGGTGGTTAGCAGGGCTCGGGTCTCTACAGTGCCAAGGTGGGCCCCAGAGGGATGTGAGAATCCAAAGAACACTTGAGTCTTTGGACTGCTGCTGCAGCCACCCTTCTTCCCCGCAGAATAAGACCCCCAAATGAACATGGCTGCCCTTTGCTTAACCAAATGGAAATGTAGGTTCACAGGTCAAAAGGTCCTGGGGTTCAGTTGCTAATTCCCAGATCAACTTACAGACCTGGGGACCAGGAGAGGCAAAAAGGTGCCTCAAGTGCAAATTTTAAGGAGGCCGTTAATTTCAAGTATGCACCTGTACAACCTCAAATGTAGGCATCTCCTTGAAGTGAAGTCCCAGGGCATTGAATTACTTCACGGTAGAAATACAGTTGATATGTGTTGACTGACTAAATGATGATTATCTATCATTAGGCTATGCTAGGCCACAAAGAAACCCCTGAATCTCCATGGCTTAACTAATGAAGGCTTACTTCTTGCTTGTGAATAGTGCAAAATAGTGCAATAGTTATCAGGCCTTCTCTACCTCAGAGTAGCATCCTGTAGCTCTTCCCTGCTCAAATATGCGATCTGGCACCAACAGCATCAGCCTCACCTGGATGCTGGTATGAAATGCAGACCTGAGTCCCTGTTCCAGGCCAGTAGCAGCCAAGGTAAAGAGAGGTATAAAGCAGTGAGAGCATCACTTTTGCTTACATTTCATTGGCCAGAACTAGTCACATGATTCCAACATAACTGCAAGGGATGCTGGGAGGTGCCATCTTTCTGTGTGTGTCCATGAAGTGGACTCAGAGTGAGGGACATATAATATTCTTTCCTGAAGGTGCCTTGGGATCTGGGATGCATATTTGTGCTTTTGTGGGCCTCAGCTTCTCATAAAAGAGGAAAAAAGACAGACTCTGCTTTTTCAGTGCCAGACCTGACACTGTAAGGTGTAGGAAATGCCACTGGAGAGCAGAACTTGTGAAATGCACCAGGCCAGGAGCCAGCATTGGGAAGCCAGGAAGAAGTGCCTGCAGTTGGCAGGGCATGGCGGCTTCTGGACTGTCACAGTTTCTCAGCCCCCTGCCTGCATCCCTTCCTCCACATTTATAGCATCTGTGCCACAGGAGTCTACAGGATAGCTGGTGAGGTGGAAGGGTAGCACTCGGAGTTATTCTGGGTAATGGGGATGGAGAACCCAGAACAAGCCCCACCCAGCCTAGGCAGGGTTGGGAGGGAGGAGGGGCAGGGCTTGGTAGCTGATATTTCAGAGTGGGAGAGGAAGCACACTGTAGGGAAAGTGACCCACAACCGGATGAAAATCCCCACCTGCTGCTACTGCTTTGTGTCTGTGTGTAAATTCCTTGCCTCCCTGGGCCTCAGTTTACTCTTTTGGAGAGTGGTATCTGAGGTCCCGATTGGTGCTTATTTCACTATCCTTCTTTGCTTCCTTCCATGGTCACCCAGCCATGATTTTATTGAGGGTAGTGATGCCCTCAGCTGTCATGGCACATGGCCAATTTCCAGCCATGAGATATACGTGACAGGGTTGTGTGCAGACTCTGGAAAGTTTCTTCAAAAATAATAGCTTCCCTTTTGTCCCACCACTGCCACTCCATGCTTCTTCTCCTTCTAGTCAGTCATGCAGATGTGATGGTGGAGTTGTGCAGCCATTTTGGGCCATGAAGTTACCTTGAAGATGGACTTCATGTACAGAGGAGCCTAAAGGAGAGATAAAGGAGGCCAGATCCTTTGTGACACCTGGAGATGGCATATGCTCCCTGGACTCTACCTACAGGCTTCATTTGCGTGATTAAAAATATAAAATATATGTGTATATGTGCTATATATATATATATATATATGTATACACAGCATTTTTATATTCCTATAGTGTGTATATTCTCTTCCACTTAAGCCAACAATGGTTTGCGTTTCTCTGGTCAGTTACCGGTGATGTAAAAGTGCTATTTGTCTTGTGGACTGTGTGCCTGGGTACTCTGCCCAGCTCCCTTTTTTTTTTTTTTTTTTTTTTTTTTTTTTTTTTGTTTTTTTTTGGTTTTTCTCCGGTACCGAGAACCGAACTCACGACCTTGCGCTTGCCAGGCAGACGCTTTTTGCCGCTGAGCTAAATCCCCAGCCCCTTCCCATTTATTTTAATATTGTCAGTTTATTTGGGTCTGATGATTTGGAGTCTGGGAGGGCTTTGCCATTTCACTTTCTGTAACATGAACGACAGACTGGAATTCTCCATTGGTTCATGGGCCAATCTCTTGGCATTTGTATCCCCTTCTACGAACTTTCCCATTTTCCCTCAGTTTTTAAACTTAAAAGCATGGCTCTCAATAGCCCTTTGAGTATTTTAATGTCTACATCGAGGTTATTTTCCCTTTTCTGCCTTTGTATTTTTACTTTACTTCTTTGCATTTGATCCCTTTTGTCATAGTCTTATCTGCAGTCTATCTCTCATATTAATTTTGTCCTGGAAAAGGCATTTGGTCTATTAATTCTTCATTTGTTTTCTAACTCATTGATTTGTTTCTAAAAACTTTGAGGGGCGAACACTGGGGATTGAACCCAGGTTCTCTGCACTAAGCTACATCTTATCTTTTTAAAATTTTGAGACAAGGTCTCACTAAGTTAAATTGCCCGGGCTGTGCTCAAACTTGCCATCCTCCTGTCTCAGCCTCCCAGTGTGCTGGGATCATGGTTACGCACCACCACACCTGGCTTTTGGGGACTTTTCTGTTGCCTGCAGCTGAACCTGAATAGGAACCTCACAGCACGGAGTTGTTCCACACCTCCTCCAGCAAGGTCACATGTATAGTGGAAGGCTCACAGAAAGGGCAGCTCATGCCCAGGACCTGCCCAGGTCTGGGGTCCTGCTCCTGAACCAGAGGGTCCATCCTTCCAAGACTGGCACCTCCCCAAGGTCCCGCCTCTGGCATGACTGGGGTGGGGGTGGGAGCACTGTTTGCTCAGCTGACTGCAAAAATCCCACCCCCGGCGCACGGCCATGACCTCCCCTCGCCACACATTCCCCAGTTTGGGCAGGAATTCAGAGGCCTGCTCTGGGCCCTGAGCTCCCAGGTGCCATGTGACAGCTCCCCCTGGGACAGCTGTGGGCTTGGACAGCTTAACACTTGGCTTCAGTTTGAGCTGGCCAGGATGACTGTGCAAGGACACAAATGGTCCTCGCCAAGAGCAGATGGAATGTGGAGCTCACGACATGCACATGTGACCATCTCTGCGAAGGCTGCACGGATACGAGCTGTGGGATCCAGACAAGGA